TTCATTCGAACGCCTTTGATCTTTAATTCAACTTCCAATATTTCTCTCGGATGCATATCAACAGAAATTACATCAAAAACGGAGCTTAATTGAGATAAACGGATCGAATCGGGTGATTAATCAGTGAAAAATAACTTACTGGGTTTGAATTTGGCGAAACGGCCTCAAAATCGGAACATCAACAAAACCCAAAATATTAGTCTTAACTTCCAGCTCACCAACTTGATTTCTAGCTTCCAATCTTTTTCTCACGAACACGGACCATCCACCGTACAAATACAACTTCAAATAATTTTTCTTGCCATAAAAATAACTTATTATAATTGAAATAATATATTAAAATCTAAATAATAATTTATGGGCCTAATTTAATATTTAGCTAACAAGGTTAGGGACTAAATTAATCTTATTAAAACTATTAAAACAAAAACATAACTATATGGAAACTAGAAAACAAGGTTAAGTTCTTACCATTCTTGGATGACTAACTTGGTGATTTCCTTTTTTTTCCTTTCTTTCCCAGTTCTTTCCTTTCCTTATTATAACTTTTCTTTGAGGCCCGTCACCAACCCAATCGTAGGAATTGCAATGGTATTTGGAGTGAAGGAAAATCTAGAGGGAAATAAGAAAATTTTATATATTAAAAAATGGATAGAAACTGGAAACCCCCCCTTGGAGTGGATGCAAATTCGTCACCAGTTCCAATTCCAGGTTTGAGTTTGGGTGTTTCACTATATAATACCTCATGATGGACTGAATCAATGGTATAAACTCTGTCACTCGTTTCATCTCCATATTGATAGTTGGTCGAACTATTCTCATATGAAAATCGACCAAATCCTGTTTCTTACTGCTCTTGAGGATGATGATAGTTCACATTTGATGTACTCAAGTTATGGTCTTGAAGCATCGACCTGAAACTAGTCTCACGCGTCTCCCCACGGAGCAAAGCTTGGTTACAATCCATGACTTGAAGCTTATCGTTCTCCTGGAAAACAACCGAACTACCCGAAACCGATGAGATCGAATCCATTGAAGACCTTGTTGCAGCTGCTGTTTTGATATCAGCCATTTTAGTCACCCAACCGAAGCTTCCAGAACTATTGTTTAACCCAGAAGATAAAGAAGATGAACCGGCTGTCCTCGATGAATCCCACCAATTTGTTCATGAGTTAAACTCATCTGCCATAGCCAAAAAAAACTAATCTGTTGATGCCTTATGGTTGAATAAAATAATAATAAAAGAATTATTTATTTTCAATCCTTTCTTTCAATCATTCACCCTCCATCACTTCATATTATTTTATTATATGAACGGAGATTGTTGTTGGAGAATGACAAATCAATACATTTCTTTAATTGATTTCAAGCTTTGGTGGACACAAAAGCTGGCCGAAAATGAGCTGAAAACATTGGGTTCCAACCATAGTTGCATTATCCTTACTTAAAAAAATATATCTCTTATGGAGTGACCTTCAATTGTTTAATAAAATAATAGTATAATACAACAATTATTTGCCAACCAAATTTTATATCCTCACATATTTTAAACTAAAGTAAATCTAACCCCATATTGGGGTGTGACAAGACAGATTTGAAATCCATTATTAAGTTCTATATTAGTATAGAAGTTGACTTGAGATTGGAATCTGATCAATTATCCCAAATTCTAAAAATTTAGAAAAGGGGAAGGAAAAAGGGAATATGGGGGGCATTCCAAGAATTGAGTCTCACACCTGAAGCGAGAATCAGTATGTTCTAATGTTTGAATCCTAACTTGGTGCTTAAGGCAATGGTTAAAGGTGAGCTTATTGGATGATTAGGAAGTTCTTGAATTATCGGGTTAGTGTCTTGTCCTGATAACCTTTTATTTCCGGGACTCTGCATACTGAATGCTCGAATATTATTTTGTTGCAAGCAGTGTAGGCGGTATCTACTTTAGTCTTTAGCTGCTAATGCCGTTTGGTTTCTCTACTAAGGATCCAAAACTAATCAGACATTGACCAAGCTTTGTGCCGTTGTTCACCACTGCACAAAAGAGAAGGAAATTAGAGTTTGTGTGCTTTTTAGCTTTCCCATTAACTAGTGTTTCTTTCCGTAATCATTTATTTAGGCCTTCTCCAAACAATTAGTACTTTGAAAATTGACTTGGTCCAGTTTCTTCTTGCCTAATTAAAAAAGGAGAAATTATAAAAAAAAGGGGGCATTCCGAGAATCGAACTCGGGACCTCTCGCACCCAAAGCGAGAATCATACCACTAGACCAAATGCCCAATTTGTTAATTGTAATGTTGGTAAACAACTATAGTGGTCTAATTTTCAAGAATAGTGTGTACTTTCTTTGTTTATTGATGAATCTCTTACCAACTAAATTGTTTGTGAGCTATTTTGTGCATTGAAATGCAGTGAGCTAGGTTTGAATCTGTTTTGACCTTGGACTAAAGGGCACTGAAGCATTCCTAGAATCAAACTTGGGACCTCTCGCTGCAGAAGCGAGAATCAAACCACTAGACCAAATGCCTTATTTCTGTAAATGTATAATGTCTGGTTTTTAGTTATCAATCTGTTTCTCTTAGAACTCTGGTTAATTTTCACTAGAGACCAAAGTTTGCCACTCTTACATTTCATATGGTACAGTCTATTGAACTACAAAAGAGTGGCACAGTGCTGCCACGGTAGTAGCGACACCCACCACTGCTAAATACCTCAGTAGCGGAGTGAACAATTTACACATCAACAACTTCCCAATATCTACATACTTTCTTCAGGACAGTTTAGGAACTATAAAAGATCATGTGCCCAACTCTCATCATGTAGTGGGGTTTATCCTTAGGTAGAAGAGAGGGTGGAGATTATGAAAGTGCAAGTGATGAATGGAATTCTTAATTTTAGTCCAACTCTTATGCATATGCAGTGAAGAACAGATCAAACATGCTTAATTTTTTGGCCTTTTAATCTGGAAATTAGAAGAATAGTTTGGTAACCTTGAGAGGTGTCTGGCTAGTAAAGACGGCGGCAACAACAGAACGGTTAGGTGAATGGTTGAGTAATTTGAGTTTGGAAAATTAGGGTTATTGAATGTTTTATGTAATGGGAAAAAGAATCAGACTGATACATTTGAGTAGAAATGAAGGGTCCCCCTCATTTCACTAGTGATTAGAAGTGATTATTTACCAAACTGTAAAAAGTTTTAGACCCTTAGTCCGCAAGTAATTAGATACCGTTCAAATTAAGATTAGAGTTGGAGTTTGAGATCTGCAGATGAAAAACGAAAATGATAAAAATTATATCTATTTAAATGTCAGATCTACCTTAACTCCCAACATAATCAGAATATATGTGATTATTCAACTTTGAAAATATAAAGGGAAATATTCCCTTTTGTCGAGTTTTTTTTAACTTGTAAATAATGTCTCCAAAAAAAATTAAAGACTAATGTTTACCTTTTATATCTAGTTATTATGAAATGGCTTATATCACAAAGAAGTATGTAAACTATACTTCTCAAGTACATAAAATACTTTTTGATCAAAATAAATACCTAAAGCTATATTTTTAGTCAAAATAGGTACTTAAAGTATTCTATGTCAAAATATTTCATCTAAGTTCTAAAAATATTGACATGTTGCATTAATTAAAGAATACTTTAAGTATCTATTTTGATAAAAAAATACAGGTACCTATTTTGATCAAAAAGGTAAAATTTTAGGTGCTTATTTTGATAAAAAAAAACTTTAGGTACTTCAATGAAAAATATAATATACTTTTAGTTACTTATTTGTTATATAAGTCTCATGATATTTAATTTTTTTTTTCATAAAAATCCTAAACTTTTAAAAAATTTAGATCATATATAATTATATTTAAATACAAAACGAAATCTAATAAATATCAACCAAATTAAAACGTAGTTAGCAATACCTTTTAATTTTTCGTAATACCAAATTTTAGTTTAAAAATTATAAATAAAAAGGATGATGGACATCCTATCGACTATACCATTTTTCTTTTTAATTATGTATCTAATAGATTAGTTGTTAGATGATGATATGATATGATATGATATGATGAATGTCGGGCCAATTGACGAAGAACTTTATGTGTCATTAATCATGATAAATTTTAAATTAAATAAAGAAATAAATAAACTTAAATACGAAAGAGGATCTCAACTTGATAAATTTTTTTCAATTTAGTCTCTGAGTTTTATTTTAGTTTATATTAATCTTAAAAGTAATATTTTTTCAATTAATTTTAATCTTTTAATACAACACACTCATGGGGATGTCTATTTAACCCAAATCTGATGGATTCTAATCTGACCCGATTTGATAGTAGGTTTTTTTTTTAAAAAAATTCGAGTTTGTGTTGAGTTGGGTCGGATTTTTAAAGGACGAGGTCGAGTCGGGTTTGATTCGGGTGGAGAGCGAAAAAACTCTGACCTGTTTCCATCCCTAAAACTATATCGTAAAAAGAAGTAAAAACAATTTATAAATTCAAATTTAATGAATATTGTAACGAGGAATCCGGATGGGCATGCATTTTCACGACTAAAGCAAAAGCTTTAAAAGATTGAATTTAAAAGACCTGATCAAATTTTCTAGGAAAAGAAAGGAAAATTACAGATAGAAATGCAAAGCAAAATATTAGAAAACAAGGTTGGATGGTAGGTGGAATTGCTTTAACAACGGAAAAAAATGAAAGCAAAAAAAGGGCAGAAAGCGACACCAATTGCTACAAAATCGCTTTAATTCGTTGCCTCAATTCACTGTATTCCACACTATTTTTTGTCACCTTTGCCCTCTTTTTACCCTATAAATTAACAGATCTCAAATCTCGAAAGAGAGGATCAGATCGGTGAGGAAGAAGCTCAGATCGGAAGGCAAACAAGTGTGAAATTCGATTCACAAAAAAGAATCAGCTAAAACAATCGAAAAAATCGTATTGGATCACTCTGTTTCGCCTTCTTGATCTCTAGGGTTCTTCGTGAAAGTCGGCTTTGTTGTTGAGAGATCGGACGGAAGCAAAAATGGCGACATTTCAAGGCACTCAACAAAAATGCAGTGCTTGCGATAAGACTGTGTATTTGGTGGATAAGTTGATGGCTGATAATAGGGCCTTCCATAAGGCTTGCTTCCGATGCCACCATTGCAGGGGTACTCTCAAGGTAACATGCTTTTGTCTTGTCATCCATGTTTTTCGATATCGACGTTAATGAAATTCGGATAAATATCAATTACGAATATGTATCTAACATATAACATGATTCGACTTTTATAGACATATGTTTAGTATGTATATGATCATGATTTTCGATAATATCGATGTTAATGAAATTCGGATGAATATCGAATACAAATCAATATAACATATGACATGATTCGAGTTATATAGATATATGTTTAGTATCTATAAGAAAATGTATGTGATCCTTCCTCCTTTTTCTTTGACATATTCATCACGTTTTTGGATGTCGTATCATGATCTAGAATTTAAACTGATCTTTAAATTTTAAAATATCTTAATTGAGTATTTAGAGTAATAATGTTTTGAAATCTAGTCAATGATCAAAAAGTTTTGGTGACCATTAGTGTAGTTTACTTAAAAAATGGTGATCAAAGTGCAAGCATCCTAAAAGTTTAGTGACCAAAAGTGCAAGCATGCTAAAACATCCGTGATCAAAGAGCAAACGTCCTAAAAATTTGGTGGCCATTAGTATAGTTTACCTAAAAGATTTGGTAATCGAAGTACAAGCCTTCTAAAAGTTCTGTGACCAAAAGTTAAAACATTTTAAAAATTATGTTATCAAAGTTTAAACAACCTAAAACTTTGGTGATCATTAAATAGTTTATCCAAAACAATAGTTATTAAAGTGCAACCATTCTAAGAGTTTGGTGACCATTAGTGTAGTTTACCCAAATTTTTTTGATAGATTAGACTAAGCTTCCAAGAATGAACAAATTATTTGTTTATAATTTGATCCTCATATGTCAAATCCAAATTTTACAGTCAATGTTTGAATTGATAGTTAGACTAGATAGAAGGATCTAATTGATATAATATTGATCTATAAGAACTCAATCAAAATGTTTTGAAGCTTAGGGATTAATTTAAAATCAAAATCATAATGAAGAACATTTTGTGCAATTAACCCATATATATTGTACAAAGTATGTTGAGATTTTTTTTTGCAGCTTAGCAACTACAACTCTTTTGAAGGGGTGGTATACTGTAGGCCTCACTTTGATCAACTCTTCAAGAGAACTGGCAGTCTGGAAAAGAGTTTTGAAGGTAAAATTTTCTATTGAATTATATTATTATTTTTTTATTTATGTTATTTGGGCTCAGGTATAAGTATCGGATACGGGTATTTATCCGATAAATATATGTTAAGATTATTCTAAAAGGTTATATCTATATGTTTATATGTCGAAGACGAGTGTCAGACACGAATACTTAAAAAAAAAAAAATTTCTGAACCATATGCTGAAGTTTTTTTTCCTTCCAATCTTCTTTCAGGAATACCAAAAATGGCCAAGCCTGAAAGACAAAAGGAAAACGAGGTAATTTTTGCTAACTATATGTTTATATAGATAATTATTTGATACATTATTCAAAGTTAAGAAATTGATGTGTATTTAATTGATATTTAAATATATAAAACATTATAATTTCTTAATCACGCCTCTTATTTGTTTCGAATTGAATCGAACAGAATGCAGCAAAGGTGTTGAACTTGTTTGAGGGCACCAGAGAGAAATGCAAGTGTTGTAACAAGACTGCTTATCCTATTGAGAGGGTAATTAAAATCTATATTACTCGAACTCTTTCTACACATATCCGATACTTATTCTGTCACGTGTACGAGATAGATTTTCTAAAGACGTTCTAGATAACAAAAAATCTTTATTGCCGGATACATTATTCGTATCCGACACGTGTATTCGGATTCGAGAGACAGAGATTGAAACCCCTTTTCTTTGTGTTGTTTAAAGGTCACTGTGAATGGAACAGTATACCACAGGAGCTGCTTCAAGTGTACTCATGGAGGTTGCACGATTAGCCCATCAAACTACATAGCACATGAAGGGAAACTCTACTGCAAACATCACCATATCCAACTCTTCAAGGAGAAAGGGAACTACAGCCAGCTTGAGACGAACGATCGTGAGAAACAACAAAACGCCACGACCGATAAGGTCGCTCCCGTGGAAATTGCTACCGAGTCATGAGAAGAACTCATACACATTACTTTTGCTTTCAATGGAGCATATGGACATCCTTGGGGTCTTCTTTTTGGTTTAATCCATTGTTTCAAAGCTGAGATTGTATGATGTGCCAATTGGTTTTTTTTCCTTTTTTAATACCATGTGGGGTGATTTTTTTGGAAATAAGATTCATTTCATGGTTTTATTAATTCAATGGCTTTGATGGCTCTTAATTGCCTGCAAAAATCAAAATATCTTCATAATAATATGTGATTATTTCTTAATAAAAGTATAGGTTATGCGCTAAGGCTGTTAGTTAGTATTTTAATATAACACCAACTCCTACAAAAGTTAGATAGATAAGGATAACTACTAGGTAGTTTATTTCTAATAGAAAACTTACTCCTAACTTTTCCTATAAAAGAAAGATGTATTTTCACCGTTCATAATATATAAAAATAAAATAGTTCTTTTTCTTCTCCACATTGTTTACTATTTATCAACATGGTATCAGTTAGGTGACAGATCCTTCTTCCTAACCCTAGCCGATTATTATTATTATTATTATTTACCTTAAATATAGTTGTCAATAATGAATTTTGCCTTTTCTTCATCGGAGGTCACTTCGGAAATCCTCGTTAATTCACCCAATTCGAACCTTTTTGATGTTTCTTCAGCCTCTATCACCTGTCACTGATTGAATGGTGACAATTATATTCCTTGGTCCCAATCTCTTTAGAGACCACAACAACAATATAACTGGCCGCCTTTATATAACCGGCCGGTGCAAACAACAATATTTTTAGAGACCACACTAGTTCTTGCTGTGACGGATCCTGAATATTCAACCTGGATAAGTGAGAATACCATGATTATGTCATGGCTCATCAATTCCATGATTCCTGCTGTGGGGGAAAACTTTCTGCTGTACAAAACAGTGGCTGAAATTTGGAGTGCTACAAAGGCGATGTAATCGAATCTGGAAAATTCTACTGCTTTATTTGGGATCGAGTGTTAACTTGCCAATCTCAAACAAGAAAACATGACAGTGACTCAATATTTTACTCTAATGTCATGCTTATGGCAATAACTTGATTTGCTCGAATCCCATGACTGGAGGTGTGTAGAAGATGCCCGTCTATTCAAGAAGATTGTTGAACAACTCCGGATATTCTAGTTTTTGTCTGGTTTGCATCGGGATCTTGATGAAGTCCAAGGACGAGTATTAGGAATCAAACCTCTTCCTTTAATCTGGGAAGTATTATCTGCAATACGACGCGAAAAAGTCGACGTACCGTTATGCTTCCTGATTCGCAGCCCACTGAAGGGTATGCATTGCTCACTTACTCTCAAACTACTACTCGACCAAAGAAGGGAAGACCTTAGTGTGACTACTGTAAAAAGGTTGGCCATTTGCGAGATTCCTATTGGAAGTTACATGGCAAGCCTACTGATGGGAAGTCTTCAAAACATCATCAACAACGTGATACTCAAGGAAATTGTGTTGTGAATACTGATTTACAAGGAAGTTCATTTACTAAAAAACAAATGGAAGAGTCGCAACAGTTTTTTAGTCAGTTAAAAACTCATTCCCAGTCCTACTTGGATTATGGGTTCTGGTGCAAGTGATCATATGATAGGTGATCTTCAGCTCTTTCACACTTTTCATGCCGACTCGTCTATCTCTCATATCAAACAACTGATGGTTCTCTATCTGGTGTTACCGGTCATGGGTTTATTCGAATAAATCATGACATTTTGTTATCTCATGTTCTTTATGTTCCCAATCTCACTTGCAATCTTATCTCCATTAGCAAGTTGTCTGCCGATTTATGCTGTACCACGAAATTTAACTCTGATTTTTGTGAATATCAGGATTCCAGCTCGGGGAAAGTGATTGGCAGTGCTAGGCTTTGTGGGGGAGTCTTTACCTACTTGCAGTAACTTTATTTTCCCACCCACCTACTTCCTTCAATGTTATACAACAATTTCCTTTACTTGAACCTTCAACCGATGTTATGTTATTGCACTTTCACTTAGGACATCCCGGTTTCTTTTATCTTGCAAAATTGTTTCCACAATTGTTTGTCAATAAAAGTCCAAAATCTTTTTCTTGTGATATTTTCCCACTTGTTAAACAAACTAAGAGTGTTTATCTACCTTCTCCATATAAATGTCCAAACCATTAACCATGATCCATAGTGATATTTGGGGACCATCTCGGGGAGAATCTTTACATGAGTTTCAGTGGTTTATTCATTTATTGATGATTACACTCGTACTACCTAAACCTTTCTCATGAAAACCAAATCTGAAGCTTGTGAAATATTTAAACGGTTCCATAAGATGGTTGAAACCCAATTTTAGTGTTCTATCCAAATGTTTCATTCTGATAATGGTAGTGAGTATTTTGCCAATGTTTTGGGTTCTTTCTTTAGAAAATCGGGATTGTTCATCTTACTTTGTGTGTCAATTCTCCTCAACAAAATGGGATTGTTGAGTGAAAAAACAGTCATCTTCTTGAGGTTACTCGGTCTCTACTTTTTTCCACAAATGTTCCTAACTATTTTTGGGGGAAGCCCTTTTAACTTCCACTTATTTGATTAACCGTCTCCCTAGTAAACCGTTACAATTTAAGTGTCCGAGAGATGTTTTTCTTCAGTTTTTCCCAATTTTAAACTGATGACTTTATTGTTACCCCTTATAGTTTTAGTTGTATTGTGTTCGTTCATTACAATGTTCCTTTTTGGTCTAAATTAGACCCTCGAGCATTTCGGTGTGTTTCTGGGTTATTCATCAACTCAAAAGGGCTTTCAGTGTTATTATTCTCATACAAAGAAATTCTTTATTACTATGGACGTTACTTTCTTTGAAAAAACACATTTTTCCTTAAAATTGCTATTCAGGGGGAGTCACATAATGAATATCAGTTTGTTGATTCACAACAATTGTCGCTTGATTTACAGCCAGCTCTTTTTGATCAACCAGCACCGTCAAACCAGTTAAACCAGTCGAATAAGCCTACAAAATCGCTCCAGCCAGACCAAACAACACTACCGAACCCAGAAAATGTATCCTTGCCAAACCAACCCATCGAAACATATTTATCTCGGCATTATCAACATATCACTTCGCCTCAAATACCTCAATTCAAATTGCAGATTTACAAGAGACGACAAAAACCAATTTCTAAATCAATCCCTAAACCTAATCCCGAGTCTCCCACACAATATGGACATTAGAATAGAACGAGAATCCTTTGGAGAATGAAGAAGGTAATCATAGTTCTTCCACTGAATTAAATGCTTTAATTGATGATAATGACTTGCTAATTGCTCAAAGGAAATGAGTATGAAAATGAAGAAATTATCCAATTGAGAGATTTGTTGCATATGGAAAGCTAATAGCTTGTTTTAAGAAATTTACAACAAGTGTAGATATCATTACTATTCCAGATAAGGTGGAATAAGCATTGAAAGATCCCAAGTGGAAAAAGGCAGTAGAAGAGGAATTAAAAGCATTGGAAAACAACATTACTTGGATTATAGTTGATCTTCTGAAAGATAAAAAACCAGTCGGCTACAAATGGGTATTCACGGTAAAATACAAAGCTGATGGTAGCATTTAAAGATATAAGGCGATATTAGTGGCGAAAGGATTCACTCAATCTTTTGGAGTTGATTATCATGAAACGCTTACTTCGGTAGCAAAACTAAACACTATGAGAGTGTTACTGTCATTAGCAGTCAATGAGAATTGGGTGATTCATCAGTTGGACATCAAAAATGCATTTCTAAATAGAAACTTGGAGGAGGAAGTATATATGCGAATTCCACCGGGTGGGAAGAGTAATACATGAAAAGCATGTAGATAACTAAAGTCCTTGTATGAACTTAAACAATCTCCAAGAGCCTGGTTTGACGGGTTTACAAAGGTGATTATTCAGGATGGTTACAAGCAATGTCAGTCGGATCACACTTTATTTGTCAAAACAGCTTCAAACAACAAAAATGCAATTTTGATTGTCTATGTGGATGATATAATTCTAACAAGTGATGATTGTATGGAGTTAGAAAGACTGAAAAAGCTACTGGCGAAGGAGTTCGAAACCAAAGACTTGGGAACTTTACGGTATTTCTTAGGCATAGAGGTTGCAAGATCAAAAGAAGGAATAATGATCAATCAAAGAAAATATATCCTTGATCTATTATCAGAAATTGGAATAAAAGAATGTAAGCCGACAAAAACACCCATGGAAGAAAATCTTAAGCTACGGAGAGAAGAATTAAGAAGTCTCGTTAACAAAGAACAATATCAAAGGCTAGTAGGTAAACTAATTTATTTATCACTTTCTAGACCTGATATTGCGTTCCCTGTCAATATAGTGAGTCAATATATGAATGATCCAAGAGAAGAACATTTAGAGGTTGTGAATAGAATTCTAAGATACTTGAAAATGACATCAGGACATGGGTTAATTTTTAGAAAGAGTGATGATAGAACAATAAGAATTTTTTTGGATTCAAGCTGGGTAGGTGAATTAACGGATAAAAGATCTGCAACTGGTTATTGTTCATTTGTTTGGGGAAATATGGTTACTTGGAGAAGTAAAAAATAGGATATGGTATCTCGAAGTAGTGCAGAAGAAGAATTTAGAGCAATGACACTTGGAATTTGAAAAGGAATTTGCTTCAAAGAATGTTAATTGAGTTGGGGTTATGTGCCAACAAATGGTTTGAACTTCAAAGTGACAGTAAATCTGCAATAAGTATTGCAAAGAATCCAGTTCATCATGACCGAACGAAGCATGTGGAGAATGACAGACATTTTTATCTCTGAAAAGGTGAATGGTGGAATTGTGAAGCTCAATTATGTTTCAACGAAGAATCGGTTAGTAGATATTCTTACCAAAGCACTTCCAAGAATTACCTTTAATGAGATTATATCCAAGCTGGGTCTTTTCAACATTTACTCCCCAACTTGAGGGGGAGTATATGTTATGCGATAAGGCTTGTAGTTAGTATTTT